CTATAATAAAGGCATTAGACTTAGACATTTAAGTCGTATTATTTTATATTTGACAATTGAAATGTGGAGAGCGGGATTCGTAAACGATTAATTYTYGCGTTATATTGGGTAGTTTTTGTATTTTTGTCTACTTGAAGCTTATTTTAGACTCACACAAACATGCATATATGTATATTTATATTTATTTATACCAAAAAGGGTTCAAAAAAATCTTAAATCTTAGATTTTTTGATCATATCCATAGTTGTTAGTTATTCTCATAATCTAGGTAATATGCAGACTATATACTATTTCAAGAATTACGATGCATACATTTCTTATATCAGTATTCTGCTATTATTACAATAATTATTCAACAAACACGGTGAAGGTATGATAATATTATAAAATGTATAGAACTATAGAAGTATTTAACCTGTTTATATTAATTTAAATTATGTACAAGTACCTTGGTATACGTATGATGTGTTTGTATAAAAATTATAAAATACAAGTTTATTGTGATAATAAATGTTAATTTATACGCTGTTGAAAGAATAATCACCCTGTATATATTTAATACAACACTATATTGTAGAGGCGTGTGATTTTTTAATGGATAATATAATACGATGGCAACTTGAAAGTGCAGCATACGTGCCGCCGAGGTGCTAAAAACTATATTATAAACTTAATCATTGCAGGTTTAAAAAGTTAACAAGTGTAATGCACATAATATAATATATAATATGTAGGTCATAGATATAGGTACGCTGCAATAATTAATAATACGCATGGTATAACTGTATAAGTATATAGGTAGGTACTAGGTATATATAAAATAAATAATATTCATTAAAGCAGATACACACTATACGGTTGACAGCACGACTTTATATAGTCTATTATACAAAGGAGCGTATCTTTGAACCCCTCCGCACAAAATTGTATAGATTACTATCTAATGAAATAAATACATTAAATGTATCCCAATTTTGGAGTACGTGTAAAAAAAAAATTGAATTGACTGAAAATGGGTTTTTTTTAAAGGGGGTGGCTATTATAATAGATGCGTAACAGGGAAACGTTTTATTCAGCGGTATTAAAAAATTAGTACGTGCAAGTATAAGTGCGAAAAATGAATTTACATTGTACTTGTACACAATAATTTATACCTAATATCTAAATGGCYAAATGGGTACCAGCTATATCGTATACTTTATGTAGTGTAGGCACCTTTTGATCCTATGCGCCTCTTGCCTATATGGCTATATTGTAGATAGTTTAAGTATCATCATCCGTGTACAGTGTACACCCAGCTGCGAGTTGCGACAGGCAATTAAGTGATTATACAATAATACGAAAAGTTTATTACGATTGTCAAAACAAGACGTATATCAACATGGATAACGACAATAGCAGTAATATTATATTATATTAGGCTTATTAGTGGGCACGTATATTAGGCACCCAACTAGATTGCGATAACGACATAGAATATATAGTGACATTACATACAACATTACATATTGTATAACACTGCAACAGAGTCTAATATTATGTATATTATTATAATGTCAATAATAATAATAAAATTATATTATTGTAACAGAAGCGAAATAATATAATTAATAAACCAACCCGATTAGATGGACAAAAACGCATATACCTACCTAATGTATACCTATGTCCTATATAGCATATATATTACGTAGATTATATACATGTTCGTAATAAACACTGCTGCGCACACGAACCCGCATTATTATATTAGGACACATTATATTATACGCTCGCTGATATAATGAAGTACCTACTCACAACTAATAACCCGGTATACATAATAATAAATAATATACTCTAACATAAATATTATTGTTATTATTATTATGATATAGCAGCTATATATAACTATATATATATGGTGGTATGCATGAGCCACGCAATTTAGGAATTACGACAATGTTTTAACGATTTTTATTTTTTTTTAATAACTTTATTACACTCAAACTTGGATCACCGTTAAAATATTATACCTATATTATTATTATTATTGTTATTGAATTTGTTATTTGCCACGAAGTTGATGGGGTGAATCATTTAAATGCAAGCCATATAATATGTATCAATTATATTAATTGTAGTGGTTTCTGCACTAATAAACTCGGTCAATATTTTTGTTTTAAAAAACTATTTTTTTTTTTTATTGAAACGACTTTTCTGAAGTATGTAGGTATATAGTCTCACAGAATAAAATGATTTATAATYTCCTTAGTTGTTTTCAATTTCTTTTTATAGAAAATTTACAAGACAGGCCACCACTTTATAATCATATACCTATGAGGATAGAACAATAAGAGGTACTTCTAAAAAATTATCGTCGTTGTCACCTAATGGTCGTAAGAATTAGATTTTGTCATAATACTCATGATACAAAATTAAGTTATTTTAAAAATATTTCAAAAAAAAAAAAATACGTTCTTCTACACAATAATGCCTAGAGCAATACGAACACGGAAAGTTAGAAAATATATAGGTAGAAAACCGATAGGTAGAAAACGACGTACGTGAAGTTGGCACCCCGACTTTGTCGTATCGTCCCCAAACCAATATCATATTTTTGCAAATAATTTGCAACAATTTGCAACACA